AACTATACTGTTAAATGTTAGATTATTGAGTCTAGTATATTCTAACGCTTTATATTATTAATATAACATTTATTATTTTATTAAGAGCATAATTGATAAATCATTGGATTTTACTGCTGGATTTGTTCATTAAACTAAACCTGCTTATTTTGGGAAATGTGATTATTAGTTAATAATATATGCTCAAACAACATCTAATATTATCTAAGTGAGAAATGTAATAAAATATCAATTTTTAATCAATTTTTTTTCATCTGTAATAATTTTTTTGTTCTTGTACAACTTCATAAATGCTGATCCAATCTTATTAAAAAAATGACAGTATTTATAATATATAAAGAGGTATCATAAAAAGAGAAACCGTAATTATAGTATAGATATTGGTAAAGCTGTTATTGGATTTCTTGAGCTGCCATTCTATCAATAACTACAATTCTTTCCATTGCAATTCCATTTTAAACAGACTGTCAACACTCAAATCTCTAACCGTATATATATGTTCCTGCAACTTGACCAACACTTTTTGTTTTGTTTTTGTTTTTCCATAAACACCCTTCACAACAACGGACCACAATTTCACACGAAAGGCACTTTTGTCATTGAAATTAACCGCATCAGTGGACCACCACCATCACCCAATAATTAATTTCTTTGGGCTGAGAGTTTTTTCGTAATTTCATATCTCTGAACCTGCATGAGCCCTTCTATTTATAACAACAATGGTTGATTCAGAGAGCAGAGAAATTAAAAGAGACAAGTTTGAGTTCACTTTGTAACGTTTCTTGCTCAAATGAGTATTCCAAAAACAGATAGCTATCCCAATAGTTATATATATATAAATATATTTTAATATTTATATGTATAAACATACATGTGTTGCTGATGCTTCTGTTGCTGAGATGCTCATTTGAGCGAGAAACATTAGAAGTGTTTTATTAAATATTGAATAATTGGTCCTTCTTCTTCTTCTTCTTTCAGCGTTTTAATGAAGGCGGCTATGCTCTCAGGATTATATTTTAGATAAGTTAATCTTGATCTTACTCTGAATTCTTTCTTCGTTGATTCCCTTCTCATATTTGGTTATTTGCTGATTGATAAAATTTCCTATATTTTTTATTTATTTTATTTTCCTTTTGCGATATCTCTCTATGGTTAATCGTCTTTAAATCTTCAAACATAAAGATAAATTAATTAAAAATAATTAAGGTCTAGTTTATTTTATGATTGAATACAGTTTTTGTCATTGGAATCAAGAGATACTACAAAACTTATGAAAATAATTTTAGTATCGAATAGAATAAAACAGATTCTAATTTGTATTTGTATTTTTTGTAATAACGTATTCTTCCTTGTACGAGAGATGTGGTGGCTGATGTCGTATCTTTCTTTGATTTTTTCTCTTTTCCCTTTTGTTTTGGAGGTCTTAATTTATTCATTTTGTGGTGGCTTTCATTATTTGATTATGTTTATCCCTGTGATATCTTATCTAGTGTTTCACAAAAAAACAAGTTTAATTAGGTTTGAAAATTGATTGGGAAGAAAGACTTTGTAATAAGACAGTTAATTACCATTAAAATAATAATTGAATGATTGTTGAGCAACAAGAAATATTGATAACGGTGACCATCTACTTCCATACCAAGTATCATATGTTATATGAATTCCTTTCTGAATAACAGTTAGCTAGCTAGTTCTTTTATCTTTACTTTTTTTTTTCTTGGTGATTATTAATTGATTTAATTATTATATACAGCAACATGTAATTCTCCGTTAATAAACAATAAAAATAATAATGATACTAATAATAATTTTGAGGGTAAATTAATTAATTACAAATGTACTAAATAATTTAAATTTGCACATGCGATAGTTGATTTTATAATTTGAGTGGGTCATCAGGTAGGTGAATGGAGAAGGGTGGGTACCGAACTTTGTTTTCTTTCATTTAATTTAAAAGGGAGAACAACATTTTCCCACCCAAGGTTTGGGGAAACGACACTTTCCCACCTATTAAGTTTCAAAATGATATTTTCCCATCTTTTGTCAGGTTTTGTTAATGTTTTTGTTAATATTTGTCTTAAAAAAACGAAAATACCCTTAAATAGTTATTTCTTAATTAGTTTGTTATAAATCAAAGTTTAGTTAAGTCAAAGTCTTACTCGATTATTTATTAGTTCAAGCATAAAGATATATTTTTTTCTTTTGTTTATTTAATTAATTAGAAATATTGATTTTCTATGTTAATTAGTAAAAATAAAAAATATTATAAATTTAGTAGATTATTGAATAATAGTGATGGGATATTGATGACATAATAAATAAATAAATAAATATTAAGGTAATTTAACTTTAAATAATTCCATAACATTATTCTTAACTTTTTAGTTGGGGTTAACTATTTTTTCCTTTTTGACTTTTTAATATTTGACTTTTTAGCTAATTAAAAAATAACAAAAAATTTATAAAGTCAAATATTTAAGAGTATTTTCGTTCTTTCAATCAAATATTAACAAAAACACATAACAGAACCTAACGAAATGTGGGAAAGTATCATTTCGCCAAACCTTGGGTGAGAAAATGTCGTTCTCCCAATTTAAAACTTACCAAAGATATAATCTTATCAATATGCATCTATAAATTAATTTTCAAATTTTATATATGTTAATAATAAGTGAGATGGATATATATAAACATTTACTAGATTATTTGTTTACTCCAAACCTATCATCCACCTGTTAATTAATAAAAACTCAAAAGATTTAGTAATTTTATATAAAAAAGTTAACACAAATTTGCCAAATAATGTTACAATTTCAGGTTCACACATTGAGCTTCAAATTTGATTTATTGTAAAACAGAGACATTAAAAAAAAAAAAAAAAAAAAAAACCCAAAAATCAATTGTAACATGTATTTAAAAAGTGGGTTTATAATTTATTATAATAATAATTTAAAAATAAAATAAGGTTATACATTTCAATATATAATAATCTGAATCTCTTATCCTATATACATTAAATGCGTAAATTATCAGTTAATATGATATGTCACTTGATATAACAAAAATATGAATGTATACTATTCAGGATATTAAGCGTTATTATTTTGGAATTTTGAATTTTCAACAACCGATTCAATCCAATCTGACTTATGAAAAATTTAGTTACAATAAAGTTGGCAATAGTATTGATGGACCGACTAATTTTGTAAGTGGTCTCAGGCTTCAAGCCTTGATGGTTATTTCTCTTCCTTGAAAGTTTGTAATATTAATTAATTAATTAATTAACCCAGAAAATTCTTGCAGAAGCTAGCTTAAATAATAAAGATTATTAATGGTTTTTTAAATACCTTCTCCTCAATGGTAAGGAAAGATTATTCCTTTGTTGAATTAAACCATATAATAAAAACTGTAATTAGCTTTTCTGATTTGACAAATTAAAAATGTAGATATATATTCCTTCCGTGTATGAGTTTTAATCTAGTACCTTGTGCTTGATGTTTAAAGGCTTTTAAACGTGCAAATTAAATGGAGCTTTAGTGCTTTCCAATCCATCTCGTAGATTCTGACATTCCGTGTGAGGGAAAAATTTAGTCTTGCACGGAAAAAGCATACCATATCATGTTCTTTTATAAATTAGATATGTAATGGATGCATTAATTTTGTTTAATAATATTAGAAGATGGGTGTTCAAAGCATTAATCCACACACAAATAACCTTATCCTGATGACTATACAAAAATAAATTCGATTATATATCCTAATTATTCTAATTATCATCACAGATTATAGGTTTTATAATTAAATAATACTAAAAATACAAACTTTATATATTAACTCTTGTATATCGTGAGATAAAATGAATGGAACAATACATATAAAAGATAAATTAAATAAATGTAGATAAATAACATGTCAATTAAGAGGTCTTAGATGTATTGCCTAAGAGGTCTTTAGTTCAATTCTCTTCGGTTGCTAATAGGGGTAGTCAATTTATTTGGTAATTAAATTAAAGGTCTTAGAGGATTAGTTGAAGTGTGTACAAACTAGTCTGGATAGAGCTAGACTGAAACAAGTGGGGTTGTTGCCCCCATTGGTCCAATGTGGCTGTTAAATACTTTTGTATATAAAGGGTGGTACATATAATTTAAATATGTATTATCTTTCCTTTCACCCTATGCTAACAAACATAAGAAAGCATATTTTTTTTTTTTTTTTTTTGGAATGTATTAACTTTAATTCAAGCAAATATTAGAAATAAAAATCAGTTAATAAAAAGTAAATGTTGTATCTCTTATTTTATGTTGTTATTTCATACATTTATAATTTAAGAAAGAAAGACTTGTATTTCTCCTTTTATTTTGTTGTTAATTTTAGATAGAAAGAATTCGAAAGAAAAAACTAGAGTCTTAAAATAATAAACTAATAACTTTGTAATTCTCTTAACTGTTACCATATTGATCCTAATAAGATGGGACCAAAATATTTTTGTTGAATAAAGTGAAAAAAGAAATGAATTAATATTATTACTATTATAATGAAAGTTATGATATAATATTTATCCATATTCAGTATCTAGTATATATCTTTTTATTTTTATATAAAATTGCCCCCACTTGCAAATTTTTCTGGTATTATCACTCTATGTACGTAATATTATTTTTAAATTTAACAAGTATACATATGATAAATATATAATCATAATACATATGTCTATTTTTATTAAAGTTTATCATGCTAATTGGTGCATGAAACTAACAAGATACTTCGGCTTTAGTGTCTTGTTCTTTTGATCGATCAGTTCCCTTGTTGTGCAAGCTAAATATAAATTGCATCAACAGATTATCCCTCCCGACAAAGAAGAAAAAAGAGAGATATGAATGATGATAGAGCAGATGCAAAAGGAAAAAAAGCGAAAATTCAAAGATGATTCTAACTTCTAAAGCAGACACACACTCACTACTAAAGTTCTCACAAAACATAACCAAATTCAAACTCCCCCATTCTCAAAGCAAAGAATCTCAATCCCACTTCTTCAATTTCAACCCTCCATCTCTAGCTACTCCCTTGCACCACCACACTTCCAAATCATGGCAAAACTCTCGTCAACTTTCCTCTCTTCATTACCTATCACAATTTGGCTGCTTCTACTTGCATTCATACTCATCCAAGGTATAATTTTTTAGTTATTTGATTATAATTTTTGAGTCAATAGTAAAGCTAATTAATAATATTATTGTATGCAGGAGTTGAAGGATCTATTGGAGTCAACTATGGCACGGTTGCAGACAACCTCCCTCCACCATCAAAAGTTGCACATTTTCTATTAGAATCCACCGTCATCAACCGTGTTCGGCTCTTTGACGCCAACCCAGAAATCTTGAAGGCCTTTGCTCGCACAGGAATCGAAGTCACAGTCACTGTCCCCAATGACCAAATCCCCCACCTCGCTAAACTAACCTCCGCTCAACAATGGCTGAAAACTTACATCCAACCCCACACTCCCGCCACCAATATCGTTCGCATTTTAGTCGGCAACGAAGTCCTTTCATTCGGAAACAAATTGCAAATCGCAAGCCTAGTTCCCGCCATGCAAACCCTCCACACCGCCCTCGTCGCGGCGTCTCTCAACCGTCGAATCCAAGTTTCGACGCCTCATTCTTTAGGCATTCTCTCATCTTCGAGCCCTCCCTCCTCCGGCAAGTTTCGACAAGGATACGATACTCATGTACTTAAACCATTGCTCAGCTTCCTTAGAGCCACCAACTCCCCTTTCTTGGTGAACCCATACCCTTTTTTCGGCTGCTCGGCCGATACCATTGATTATGCTTTGTTTAGGCCTAATTCAGGAGTGTTTGATCAAAACACAAAGCGTCTTTACACCAACATGTTAGACGGTCAACTTGATGCAGTCTTTTCAGCTATGAAACACCTTGATTTTACTGATATTGAGATTGTCATAGCCGAAACCGGGTGGCCTTCGAGAGGAGATTCTTCACAAATTGGTGTTGATGCAAGGAGTGCAGCTGAATATAATAGAAATCTCATGCGCCATGTAACATCAGGCGTCGGCACGCCACTCATGCCAAATCGGACGTTTGAGACTTACATATTTGCTCTTTTCAATGAAGATCTCAAGCAAGGACCAACAAGTGAAAGGAATTTCGGACTGTTCGAGGCCGATTTGACGCCGGCCTATGATATAGGAATCCTCCGGTCCACGGTAGCCGCCGCCGCTGATAATCACCATGTTGCATATTGTTTGTTAGTCATTACAATCGGGCTTCTAGTAATTAATATTCATGGTGAAATCATCTAGAAATATAGTACATTATGTACAATTTTTATTTGATTTTTTCATGTACTTGATTTTTTCAGGCTAGATCTTCCATTCCCACCAATCCAACACCAGGGCCAAAAGTGGCACCTGTGACTCCAGTGCCTGCAGGGCCAATGGTTAAGGGCAAAAAGTGGTGTCTGCCAAAAAGAGGAGCCGAAATTGAGGCTCTGCAGAGCAATATTGATTATGTGTGTGGGTTGGGTTTGGACTGTGGGGCCATTCAAGTGGGTGGTTCTTGTTTCCTTCCAAATACAGTTCGAGCTCATGCAGCATACGCCATGAACGTTTACTACCAAGCTATGGGAAGGAACGATTATGATTGCGATTTCAAACAAACTGGTGCAATCTCAGACGTTGATCCAAGTATGTTAATTATTTATTGGTTTCTTTTATATATTATATGACCTTATATATCTACCTTGCTTTTTAAGGAAAGAATCACTGATTAATTAATTAACTGATCGTATCTTTTTGTTGGTTTTTTTGATACTGCAGGCTACGGAAAATGCAAATATTAATTTTGATGAGTGCAAATTTGCAATGAAGTTGAGGCATACATTTTATGTTAGTTAATTAGATTTTAATTAATTTGTAATTTTGTTGTTGTTTTAGAATAAGTACAATGAATGTAAAATGTAAACTAGCTATGGCTAGTTTAAAGATAGTACTGATAAATGCTTTTTATAGTCACAGCAACTTTTCCGAAGCTACCACTCTTTGCAATTTTTTCTCTGCATTTAAATATTTATTCTTAATACAACTGCGCCATAAATTTTTTGTATAAAAAATATCTGTTATGTTATACAGGACTTATTTCTATGTAAATTTGAATATCGAGCTTGTGATATAAATTTTTTTTTCCCTTAAATATCATTTTGTTTTGTAACGTATGCCTAAATTGTCCCTATATAACATGGAAATAATAGATCGTCATTTCATAATATAAAAGGGTTTTGATCTAAACCTCCCTAGATTTAACTAAATAATAAAATTTGTTTTGAGATTTAATAATAAAATTTGTTTTGAATAACATAAATTTCTCATTTGTTAGTAAACCGTTAGCATATAGTAAAAATTTATAACATGATGGGTTTAATGAATCTTTACCATATTATCTACCTATCATTTATTTATAACACAAAAAATTAAACAACAATGAAATTTCTGTTATTACTATAACCATAAAGCAACTTTTATTATTTAATTATACCTAAGGGTAATTATTGTTATAAACCCTAATATAAACCTACAGTTTAAGATCAAGCTAACCTAATTAAAGACTAATTCAACCAACATCACCTCCCACAAAAGACACCACCAAAACCAACCTTACCCCACCAAAGAGTTATCCTAAAATTCACCCTAAACCACCATAAAATCCATCCTAAACTACGGCAAAAGCTATCCTAAAATCTACCATATGTTAATGACTATAAAATTCACCACCAACAAAATTAAGACCAAAACCCATCTTAAACCACCTCAAGAGTCACCCTAAAAGTCACCCTTAGACCACCTCAAAATACCACTATAAAATCCACCCTGAACGACCGCAAAAGCTACACTAAAGTCTACCATAACCACCACAAAATCCTTCATATCCACCACCATAAGTCACACTAAACCACCGCAAAAGCCACCGAAAATCCACCATAAACCATTACAAAATCCATACCGTCAACCAATATAAAACCCCTGATCATCTATAGCCACCTTAAACCACCACAAGAGCCATCATAGTACCATATATATTTACCATGTATCCACCCTTACAAAAACCTTCAAACTTATAGCTAAACCACCACAGAAAGCTAACCTAAAATCCTTCATAAACAATCATTAAACACACCAGCAAACATTACAAAAGACAGGTTTAATTCAAGCATAAAAATCCATCATCAAATACACCAAAATGTACCATCAACCATGATCAAATCTACCATTTAACACAAAACACCCCATAATCAAACTTCCCAAAACTAAAAAAAGAGGGCACAACCACTACTAAAGAGATTTGTAGATAAGAGAGCAACTTGCAAAACAGGGAATGGTAGGGGAGAAGGAATAGGAAAGACAGGATGAAAAAGAACTGAAAGGAAAGTAAGAAAAAAGAAGTCGACACTACATTGTAAAAAGTTTTTACAGCTTTTTGTTAAATGGTGTTATTAAAGATGCTATGAAAAGTTGCATACTTTTCACATCATTTATCAAAAGCTGCATAATTGTTTTCATTAAGTTGTAGTTGTAAAATACAATTGACTTTGCAATCTTTCTTTTTGAATTTAGTACATTGTTTATTGGTTTTGACAATGGTTTGGAAAAGCAAAATGCAGTTAGCAATAGCACAACTGATCTTGGGCAATCCTCTACAAACAGAGTAACCCAACAACATGAAAATCAGCCAAATTTTCATAACAATGGTCACCACCCAAATAAGGGGCATGGTCTACGGTAGCGGAACTAGGATTTAAATCTTGGGGTGGTCGAATCCTTATAGTACAATTTTTTTACCTCGACGGCATGAGGGAAAATTTTATTAAATAAAAAAAAATGACACCTAGTTCGGGGGACATAATGAACCTTACTCCCAAAAAAAAAAACCTAATACAAGCAAATTAAAAGAAATTAAAAAAATGAATGAAATGCGATACATGTCAAACAAGGAAAATAAGAAATGTCTAATAAAATTTCACTCCACCAGATAGTACTTGACACTGTTTGAGATCTTGAAAATCATTTATAATTGACTCCAAGCTAAATTGTTTAGTAATATCCCTTTTAATAATGCACATCACTGAAAATGATTTTTCGCTAGTAGCAGTGGAAGCTGGAAGAGTAAGCTTAAGAATAATTAATATTCTTGATCAGATGCAAGCTAAAATTATCAAGTGTAATTGTTCCAGTCAAAGGCGTTAGATTAAAGTAGTTGACTCTACCAATTATATTGTTCTTGAGTAAGCGTTTATTTTGTTATTATTGTAGTTAAGAAATTTGTTTGTAATTGCACTATATACACGTAGAGACTATAAACTTCTGGATCCTATATAAACTTTGTTGTGCTAATAAAATAATATAGTCCCGAGTGCTCATTTTCTTTCGTTTTCCCTTTGTTATCAATTCTATATACCAATGTTTTCAAAACCAACTCGATCAATGACCCAGTCAAGTGACTAGTCCCGGGTTGATTGGTTGAACCGATTGGATTGGCGGCTTGACCGTCATATCAAGCAGGTTTGAAATCTAGCAAACACACCCTTGAGAAATTTTCATTAGTACCTGTAGGTTTGAAATCCAACAAACACACCCCCTAGATTTGAGCAGGAAATCGCAAAATAGACAAGTGACGGCGACGACGATCGATGGCCAATCAGACTTCGAGATAATGGGGGTTTTGGTAGGGAGATGCCGATGAGGCAAATGGAGAGGTCGGGGTAACTTTTGACGCCAGAATCTGCCTGAATCAGAGAGAAAGCCGCCGAAATCAGGGTTTTGGTGACCTTGTTTTGGCACAAAGCTGGTTTGACCGACGGTTAGTTACAATAACCCTGGTCCAACAGCGGGTCATAATGTGTGAACTGCATATTCTGATTTTCAGACCTTTAAAACTCAGCCCAACCTTTGGTTCCTGGTTCAACGGCCGAGTTTAAAAACATTGCTACATAGTTGATAAACTTTTGAATTCTGAATCGTCAACTACATTTTGCTCGTAATGTTGAAACTTTTAAGACTAGCTTCTCATGATCAGTGAAATCTTTAGAGTAAAAAATTTCCACCCGTTGAAAAACACCATTAGCACTATAGATTTGTACGTTTCTTGAGGATCTAAGGCTATGCCAAATAAGCCTCTACTTGCAAAGCCTATGTTTTTAGGCAGGTTTCAGTCTTATATATTTCAATGAGTAACAGTACATTCACTAACTTTCTCTTACTAATACCACATGTCAATTTATAATTCATCAGTTCACATGAGTCCCGTCTGTCCAATAATGAATCTCATCTAATCAAGCCAATCACAAACTCCCATATGGGATTAGTGAGAGGAGTTAGTGAGAGAGGTTAGTGAGGTTAGTACTATTGTATTTCAATTATATTTGAACTTTAATTTTTAAAACATGATCTTCCTATTTTTAATGAGTCTATTCTCTTATTTAACATTGATTTGTTTAAATTGTTTGAATTTTGAGTTTAAAACCCAAGAAGATTATTGCATACTTATTTGATTAATTGAAATAGGTTACAATCAAAAATTGAATTTTTTTTTTTTTTTTTGGGAAAGGGATAACAATTTTATCTATAAATAGTCCAGCCTTCCATTCTTCTTGACTATGCAGCTTCTCATTAGAACCTTAGGAAAAAGAAAATAGAAAACACCTTATTTCTTTTGCTCTCAAGACTAAAGTTCAGAATCAAGGGAATTGTTTAAGAAAGCCTTGTTGTCAAGGATTAAAAGGTTAGTGTTTAAATTATTTTTGAAAGCTAATACTTTTTTTTTTTTTTTTTTTTATCTTCTTCTATGCCTTTAATCCATAGTGTGAAGATGAGCTAATGTTGAAAGATTGATATATGTGTAATCTTAAAATTCTGAGCTGTGTGTATTCAGACGAGTATTATTATTTTTACATTTTAAACTATAAACTATTTTTTAGATATGTTGAAATAGACGTGTTGCTTATCATTTTGAAGGTAGCTTCATGTTTATATGATGGTTTTGAAAAGAGTTATGATTTTTCAATGTTACAATACAAGAACTTGAAAATTTTGTAGTCTTACAGCATTCAATATTAAGAAATTGTTTTGACCTATTTAGAGTTTATTTAAATTTACATGAAATTTTCTGTACGTGCTCTGTATGTCTTCAATCATTTGCTAAAATTTTGTAAGTTAGTTTAAATTATGAAAAATTATAAAAAAGTTTTACCAGATAATCCTCGATAATTCGATATAGATTTCAGTTTGACAGATTTTGGAACTTTCAGAATTACCTAACTTAGGTGTGTTATTAAACTTTTTTAGATGTGATTTTTTTTCTGGTGATATTCTTATATTTGTACTAAAACCTATTAAAATCTCATAAAGTTTTGTTAAGAAATAAAATTACTAAAAGAGCCCGGATTAGTGACTTCTTAGTATAAAGTTTAATTTGATAGATTGTAGTAGTTTAATATCTACCTAATTTGAGAAAAAATTAGAGCTTTATTTAAATGGCAAATTTTTCTATGATTGTACATACATGTTTACTAAACCTATGTCAAATTTCAAAGATTTTGAGTAATGATGAATTTACTAAAAATATGACATCTAGGGTTATTCAATACAACTGCTTAGTAATATTTCATGGTTAGGTTCAAACGTAAGATCATTGTTTCTGAGTTTGTGGTTGGAGGCATTGAGGAAAGTAAATTAAAGTTTTTCAATGAACTTGAACCACAATAAATTGATGTATGTGCTTTTTATTTATTCTTACATGAATATGTATGTTTTGACATGTATGAATATAAGTAATGTAATTATGTAATTATGTGACAATTTATAAACTTCTAGTGTTTCTGAAAGAAAGAACAATTGATCGATCAATGCTATTTGACTTTACTTGTTGAGCTAATATTCGTTTAAGGTTAAGATTTATGTGTATATGTTCTAACCTGCACATAGTTAGATTTATGTGTATATGTTCTGATTATGTTTGTTTAGTTTTCTCTTTGATATGATGATGAAAGAATGTGATTCAAAATTTTTTGTTATAAACTCAAGGGAAATTATCATGCCGTGGACACTTTTGAAATCGGGATTGATCAAATCCAAAAGTTTTGCTGCTCAATGGAAGAGAAAAAGGAGATTAATGGTCGGTTGATAAAGTTTCTGTTAGGTCCAAAAATCGTCCTTGGCTCAAATAGGAAAACAGGACCACCAGCGAAGAAGAGACCAGGCCTAATCCCAAAGAGGCCCAAGCCAGATTAGTCCCATTCGATACGAGATACGGTCTGCCCGAACCATCTAGGCACGAGCCTCCCAATTCCAGTTCACTTCCTGGGCCTATAGGCGAGCTCAGAGCCCACGACCCCCACTGATCACTTTCCTGTTCCTAATCAATCTCCTATTCGAAGTGGTTTTCCTGTTCGGATCACCTTCTTATTTGGACGCAGGTGAAACAGCTCACCACCACCTTAACTTTTCTAGGGTTTGCATTAGAGTCACACTAGGACTCCTACTCCCACCAGGATTGGGAGACCAGACAGTCGCTATATAAACAGAGGTCAACCCTCTCACAAAGGACAGATTACATTACACCTTCACATCCGAAGCTCCTACTTGAGAGCTTCACATCACCACCGTAGTCACAGTCCACGACTAGACTTCCGGTAACCTCTCTACTCCCTAGCCCTCACTATACTAAGCCTCTTTCAGCCTTGCTGACTTGAGCGTCGGAGTGCCTACGGCAAACACCACCCTGGTGTTTCTCATTCGCTTCACAAGTTTGTTTCTCTACGTGTGCAGGTGCAGCGGATCGCTAGTGGCCTCAACTTCACGGGATCAGACCCCCCTTCCGTATAGGTAGATTTTTACGTCTATAGTTTGGCGCCCACCGTGGGGCCTCTAGTAATCATTTGGCTCAACGAACCTTGCTACGTAGAGGAACCTTCCATGGTTGACAACTCCAACAATGCTAACCTTGGCCTCGAGGCCAAACTGGAGGCTCTGACCGCCCTCATGCAACAGAACTTGGATAAGGTAGCCGCACTAGAAGCCGAGAACAATGCAATCCGGACCGAAAATGCATCAATCAGGGCAGAAAACCAGTCTCTTAAGGAGCAGGTGAGTCAATTCTATGATCTAGAGTTTCAGCCTGACCAGGCACCCCCCAATCGGTTCCGCGCCCCTGTTCCATCCATGCAACCTCTCCACACACCGGAGCACCGACCCCCGGTCTCTGGCAAAAGGCCGCGTAAGTTAAACTCATCGACGGTCGACGATTTTGTCCTGACACATGGAGATAAAGATACACCAACAGAACACCATTCAGCCGACCCATCCCAGCTTCAAGATCAAGACAGTCCAGTGATAGAAAGCCCGAACCTGCAAGACCAACTCATCCTTACCGTCCCACCTTATGTCCAGTCAACCTTCCCAACATAAACCCAATTTGGCTCAGCTCACCCCCACGGGTTGAACGGCCAAACCCAACAAACCACAGCACTCGAGCCCATCCATCTTGACGGACCGAGTGACTACCAGACGACTCCATTAACCATTCATGTAGGGCGAAACACTAGAACTATTACCATGGGAGTCATCCAACTAGAAGGAATGAATGAAGATCCAGGCTACCAGGGTGTACACGAAGCAATGAATCACCAAATCACACCGCGCGGGACGGTCCAATGAAATGTGCCGAAGACAAGTGCAAAGGTCAACCCGATCAAGTAGGATGACCTAGTGGCGTCCCCTTCTCATATGGAACAGGTACTAGCCAAGAGATTGGCCGATGTGGAAGCAGTGATGAGACGCATCCCAGGAATGCCGGTCCCAGCCAAGAAGAGCAGGCCCCACTATTACGCAGATTCACCCTTCGTGGATGAGATCGCCCTAGCCGACATGCCTCAGAAGTTTACCATCCCCAACATGAAACTGTACGATAGCACAACCGACCCAGACGATCACATAGCCTCGTACAAGCAGCGAATGTTCACCGTCTCAATACCCCGACCGTTGAGGGAAGCCTGCATGTGCAAAAGTTTCGGTTCGAGCTTATCTGGCCCGACACTCCAATGGTACATGAATCCCCCGAACGGATCCATTGACTCATTCGCCCAACTCACTGACACCTTTGTGGAATAGTTTGCCAGCAGCAAGAAACTCGAGAGGCTGTCGGCTGACCTATACAGAGTATACCAGAGAAGGGGCGAGCCACTGAGAGAGTATGTCAGCAGGTTCAACAAAAAGAAGATCTTTATCCCTGCATGTAACCCTGAGACAATCGTAGATACCTTCAGGAAAGGTCTCCTCCCAGACGGAGAACTATACAAAGAACTTACAAAGTTGGGTTACACCATAATGGGAGACGCCCTGGCCCGGGCAGTGATCCAGATAAGATGGGAGGAGGATGAGATAAACCGGATGATTCACTCCAGATATTATTCAAGGCGGAATGACAGGAAGCTAGAGCATAGGCCAGCGGAGCACCGCTACCAACCCCCAACACGCAGTTCGAGCAGAGTTAGAAAACTGTATGATCGCCAGCCAATGAGAACTGAGAGCAGACAGTTCGGATCGAACCGGTACAAAGTACCAGAGTACAGCCTCAATGTCGAACCAACCCAAGTCATCGCGATTATGAAAGGAATGGGATCCATCGTTAAGTGGCCGAGCAAGCTCAACCCCGAGGCAAGGAGAGACAAGACTAAATGGTATGAGTTCCATGACGATCATGGGCACAACGCCGGAGACTACATCGCCTTGCGGCTAGAGGTCGCTGCACTTCTAAAAAGGGAACATCTCCGAGATTTGCTAACTAATAAGGGGAAGAACACCATTAGCCACAAAAGTTCAAAAGAACTATCACCACCTCCGTAAAAACCCACACCAAAAGGATTATGCTCACTCATCTCTGGAGGATCAGAGATCAGTGGGGTAAGTTATTCATCAGCCAAGCGATATGCCAGAACCAACCACCACCATGAAGTCCAGTCCATCCATCCGGTCTCATGGTCACACACCTATTAGGTAATTCAATTTGAAGATGACGAGTCGGTCACCTTGGCCGCTCCTCATCACGATGCTCTACTCGTCTCCCTGCAGATCGCCAACATCCTAGTGAAAAGAGTATTCGTAGATGGAGGCTCTTCAGCAAACATCCTAATCCTCAAAGCAATGAAGGCTATGGGACTAGAAGAGGCAAACATCAACAGGCGGTCGACACTGCTAGTTGGTTTCAGCTCTGAGCAGAAGTATACTATTGGGGAGATCATCCTCCTTATCTACGCCAGCAGAGTGAACAAATAGACTGTTTTTCTGGTAATTGACTGCCCCTCACCCTACAACGTCATCTTGGGCTGACCTTGGATCCACAACATGTGGGCAGTCCCATCCACCTTTCACCAGACGATCAGGTTTCCAACCAAGTAGGGGGTACGAGAGGTCAAGGGCGACCCCAAAACTTCTAGAGATTGCTACAAGAACGCCTTCAAAGGCAAGGGTAACTCTTCATAGCAATTACAGTCTCATCCAACCCCTTCGACCGAGCCAGATCAACCATCTATGGAAGAGTTAGATGAAGTATAGATACATCCGGACGACCCTAAGAGAAAGGCACACATAGGGTCCCGCCTCAAGCCCGAGACAAGAGAGAAGCTGATAGAATTCCTCAAACAGAACCAAGATTGTTTCGCCTGGTCTCACGCCGACATGACCGGAGTCAGTCTAGAAGCAATGGTTCACCAGCTCAAGGTAGACCCAGATCACCCACCAGTGAAGCAGAAGAGAAGGAAATTCGCACTAGAGCGTAACCAAATTGTCAATGAAGAGGTCGAGAAGCTACTGAGTAATGGTATGATCAAAGAGGTCCACTACCCCGAATGGCTGGCGAATGTCGTGGTAGTAAAGAAAAAGAACGGGAAGTGGAGAGTGTGCATCGATTTCACGGACTTAAACAAAGCCTTCCCTAAGGACTCCTTCCCGCTCCCACATATCGACATGATGGTTGATGCGATCGCAGGTCATGAGCTCTTTAGTTTCATGGATGTCTTCTCAGGATACAACCAGATCTTGATGCACCCGGATGACCAGGAGAAGACAGCCTTCATCACAGAAAGGGGGACCTATTGCTATAAGGTGATGCCATTTGGCCTTAAGAATGCTGGGGCTACTTACTAGTGGCTGGTCAACAAGACGTTCGCCGAATACCTCGGAGACAACATGGAGGTATACATCAACGACATGCTTGTCAAGTCACTAATGAAAGATTCAGCATGCATGAAGAGTGGTGGAGATGGAGAATGAAAGCATGAAAGCATGGATTAAAAAAACGGTTTACATGCAAAGCTTGGATATGAGATTATACCTACTCCTTTGCTTTGGATTGATGAAGATTAGCTTCAAAAGGATGAAACCTCTACACTTTAACACCACCTTGAGAGGTTTAGAGAGTGGTCGTGGCTTTTAGAGAGAGTTTTGGTTTTGCTTTGAGTGAACAATGTGTGTTATGAACAAAAATGCAACCTTTTGCATTTATATATACTTGGGCAATTTTGCAATTATTTATTTTTCACTTCCAAGCCCAATAAAATCTTATTTTATAAAGGGACCCCACGAATTTAATATGCTACCCTTTGAATAATCAATATTATTCAAGGGCCCATGTAAACTAAACTAGTTTACATTAACAACCCAAAAATTTACCCCTTTTTCCCTTTAACTATTAAAAGGTTATTTTTGTTCATCTCATTAATCTTAACACTTTAAGATATAATAATTAAATATAATTAATTATTGCTTGACCATTTTAACCCTTAAAATGTCACAAATTGTTTTCTATGTAACTATTACTATAGAAATCCCGTTATTAACCTCGGAAGGTGCTAGCCCTCTTCGGATAATCATTTCTCTCTCTCATCATTCTCTAACTTCTCAAGGCTATTGGTGTGACCATGTAGGTCCACCGTGGATTAGCCGTGAGCCGGTTCTGGATGAATCCGGAAACCCGTCCGGAGGCCCAACGACTATGGTAAACATCTAGCAATGTGCCATAGTCCCTAAACCACGATGAAGAAATACTTCATCGAACCCATTTCAGATCATACGTACCATGCAGGTAAAGTCCCTCCATTGAGATATCCTAATCGAGTATGGATTCATGGAACGTCAAAATCCTAAACTCGATCTTCTACCGAATTGTCGATCAATATGTCCGGAACTTGTCATCACAAACTTACTTTTGTATGACTAATAATAGACTCTGGCCAGAGATTCAGTTTTCCGACATTTATCGATGTTCGTCTAGGAACTCGAATCCGGATGGAGTCAGCGGTACTCCCGATCCTATATTTCCGAGTCAATGGATCCCCTCTTGACCATCGTTCGTTTCCGCATATGAACAACGCATGACCAAATAGGCTTTATTGTACGAAACATGATTAGTCTCGTACTTATACACCGTATGAACCATACGCATCCATATCGGATCCGACTACAATGTCTCAGGTCAAAGGACTACATCGTGCACTGATATAACCAAACGATAAATCATTGACTACATGCTTTTCCAAGTGATTTGTCGTTATTCGGTCACGTTCGAAAAACAGTTCACCAACCGTTAATCCATACCAATGCCCTAGTGACATGACTATCATCGTCATCCGTACTTATATCAACTCATGATATCTTTCGGAAGCATCCGGTATGCCTACTGTACAATATAGTTGCCCAAATTTATATTGCTTCCGTAGGGAACCCTTTTCGATAATTCATTTACCTATTAAATGAATCATCTGGACAATTCATATACATACTTTATTTTAAATGCATGACTGAATAAAGGAAGCAATTTACATATATGAATTGAAGAACTCTTTCTTCTATTATTTATGATATATATAGATACAAGACAAAATGCTCTGAAACCGACAACACGAATGGTTTCTAGGGCATACACTAATATACACTAACACTCAGAGATAGCCATCTCAACAGTACTTGTTCGAGAAGAAGAAACGAAGCAATTGCCAGTCTACTATGTAAGCAAATCACTCCTTGTCACAGAAAAATGGTACAGTCAGCTGGAAAAATTGGCCCTTGCCCTCATCCATGCATCCAGAAAGCTCAGGCCATACTTTCAGTGTCACTCAATAGTTGTACTCACCTCTTTCCCACTCAAGAAGATACTGCACAAACCAGAGCTATCAGGCCGACTCCTGCAGTGGACAGTAGAGTTCAGTGAGTTAGACATATCATACCAGCCTCGCACTGCCATCAAGTCCCAGGTGTTAGCTGACTTCATTACTGATTTCACCCCGAATACCACCACCCAAGCAGAGAGTGAGTTGTTATGCATGAACGGCGGACCACCTTCCAAGTGGACTCTCTTAGTGGACGGCTCGAGTAATGTAAATGGAAGCAGACTCAGATTAGTACTGATTGCGCCAGAAGGAGACATGATCCAGCGGACAATACAGTGTGGGTTCAAGTGCACGAACAATGAAGCCGAATATGAGGCCCTCATAGCTAGACTTTCCTTAGCCAAAGAAATTGGAGCAAAGAGACTAGAGGTGAAGTCTGATTCCCAGCTCATGGTCAATCAACTGCAAGGCACGTATCAAGCACTTGACTCAAAGATGACATCCTACTTGAGCATGGTCAAGGAGCTGCAGGCCCAATTTGATGAGTTCTCCATTGTCCAAATCCCCAGAGCAGAGAACTCCCACGCTGATGCCCTTGCCAACCTCGGCTCAGCCCTCAAATGTTCTTCCCAGTCATCCATCCCTCTATTATTCATGCAGTGACCCGCCAACTGGAAGGAATAACAACCAAACAAGTTGCCCGAGGAAGCCATAGGTGTTGAACAAGCCGACTGCTGGATGACTCACATAGTGAAATACTTGAAACACGACAAACTCCCAACTGACAAGAACGAGTCACGACGACTAAAAGCAAGAGCCGCCAGATTCACCATACATGAAGGCCAACTCCTTAGAAAATCATTCTCGGGCCCTTATCTCAAGTCCACAAGCCCAGAAGAGGCCTAATGTGCCCTTGCCGAGCTACATGAAGGCAAATGTGGAAACCATGCTGGGGGACGTAGCCTTGCACAATGGGTGATCACTGTTGGATATTACTGGCCGATCATACGCACCGATTTGGCCGCTTATGTGAAGAAGTGTGACAGTTGTCAGAGGTTTGCTCATGTCTCACACCTCCCACCAAAGCAACTCCATTCCATCCTCACACCCTGGCCCTTTATGAAGTGGGGAGTGGACATTGTGGGAAAACTACCGACTACACCCGAACAGTGAGTCTTCATGTTAGCTGTGACAAACTACTTTACCAAGTGGATTGAAGTCGAAGCCTTCGCACAAGTCAGAGACCGAGAGGTAAAAGCCTTAATATGGAAGAATGTTATCTGCAGGTTTAGGATACCGAAGGAGATCGTCACCGACAATGGATCTCAGTTCACCAGTTCAGGCTTCAGGGATTTCTGTGACATGTGGGGAATAAAAATGAGCTTCTCAACCCCTCACAACCCACAGTCTAACGGCCAGGCTGAGTCATCAAACAAGACCATCATTCAGACATTAAAGAAGCGATTACAGAAAGCTAAAGGTGCATGGGCAGATGAACTACCCGGAGTCCTTTGGTCATACCGAACCACGGCCTGCTCATCAACGGGCAAGACCCCCTTCTCTCTCATATACAGTTTGGAAGCGGTCATCCTAGCCGAAGTATCAGTCCTGTCCACCAGGCTCCAATGGACGGACGAAGAATCAAACAGCTAGAACCTTTGCCAGAACCTGGACACCATCGACGAGCTGTGCGAACGAGCGAGCATCCTCAACGCAGTCTACCAGCAACAGGCCACCCGT